TGTATTCCAGAGTCATTAATGTCTATCAATGCTAAGCTCTTACATATTTATTTTTTTATAGTTCCATGATTCTTAATAAGTACTACTTTGTCAGAGAAGGTTTGAAATTAGATGAGTGGAGTTATGCCTAGGTAAGTAGGTATATGGATAGATGGATAGATTGATTATAAACTACATTTATTTCTGAGATTGTGCATTTTTTTACTTTGTCCAGCAGAGGTCAGTGTTAAACTGTTAAAGCCTTGTGCATCTGTCTCTGAACTATTATAAAAACATACTTTTGCTTCTTTATTACTCAAAAATTCAAAATCTTCATTTTTATATATATATATATATATATATATATGCAGTCTGTAAATTGTGCTTACAGATTGGAAGATGAATATCAGAACATGACTAACAAAGTCTGCTTATTGTCTCGGTATAAGAACTTCAAACAATTGTAGTATTAAGCTCCAGAATAAGAAGTATTAGTTGGTACTAAGCAATACGCATAAGGAGAATATTTTAAGCCTATGTTTCTGCCTCTATTTCAGACAAATAGAGGAACTTGGGAAATGAGTGATGTATTTAGGACATGCAGTGTCAGTCAGTTCCTCTCCTGTTCACCTGTGGGTGAACCATCACTTTCTTTCCTATTATAACCTGAACAATGAGTTTGCTGTCAACCAGAGAAAAAGCAAGGGGCGTAAAGAGATGTCTCAAATCTCTGAGTATTTAAGTAACACAAAACTAAATGTAGAGGTGTTTCTTTTTTTCCCCCTGAATTTCATAATTATGTCTGTGACTGATCTGAGAATCGTTTTTAACTCTGAGACCTACTTTACACGAGGCCAGATTTTCTTCAACAGTAACCTGGGGTTTTGCTTTGCTAGCACAGCTGGCAGCTGTGGGTCTCAGCAGAAGAATAGTTCATTTCTGGGTGGAAAAAAAAAATTGTTTTTGCAGCTATGATGTAAGTGTGACCTCTCCACCTCTCAAATGAAGCCATTAGTTGGGCTCCACCACGGAGATCAGGAGAAAAAAAACGAGTTCCTCCCGAACAAACGCTGTGTGATTTGGAGACCTCATTTTTATCCCGTGCTGACGGGGAAGCCCAGCAAAGACTCACAGCGAGGGTCTGATAGCACAAGGTGAAGGGTGGGTGGTGCTGAACGCTGTCTGAAATGAGATTCCAGCTTCTGGGTAGTACATTTGTAGGAGTATGATTGCAGAGAAGTCAGATAGCTGGCCAGACTTATTCCCTTTACCCACAGGCTTGGGCACCTCGGGGGTGAAGCTGATGGGTGTGAAAGCCAATTTAGCGGTGGTAGCTGCTGCGGTCTGATGCTGAGCTGCTGCTAACAGACCAGGAGAGGAAAGAACTGAGTGCTGATAAATGGGTTTTGATCAGCCGATTGAGGAGATCTACCAGTAACATTTGTGTCTTTCTTGTCTTGCAGAAAGTTCTGGACCAGATCCTGCAAAGATGAACTCAACCCCATCAGGCGCCACCTTCGTTTAAAAACACTGACTACATATGGGTGGTGTCTATTGAATGTCCAGTGTTTGTTGGCTCCTTTCCATTGTTGCAAACGGTTAAACTTGATTTTGTTTGTATTGTTCCCAAAATCTCTTGTAGCTGTTTGGTGGGGACTGGTTATCCAGATTTGAAAATGTTTCAGATTCAAAACCATAAAAATCTTAGAAAAAAGAATTTAAACAGCCATGGTGTGTAAATTAAAAGTGTGCTGTCTATCTCTATCTCTAAAGTCAAACTGTTAAAACCTAGAGAGGACAAAATATGAGTGGCATGTCTGATAAGCAGCCGACTGCAGATAGTTTGAACATTTTTGCATTAGTCTTTCTATCAATATTTAAAATCATTCTAAATAACCGATATAAGAATCTATTTATATATATTCTTTTATTTTAGCACAATTAGGAGCAATTGTTGCTTCTTTGTTCTGCATAAAAGCGTTCAGATCATGTTATGCATTTTAGTGTTAAATCATTATATTAATGCTATGATGTAGCAAAAACATGTATTCAAGGTAAAGTATTTCATCGATGAAACTTTTCTGGCATCGTTTTGTGTCAACAACGTTCACAGAATGAACTACCAATGCCTGATAGAAGTTTAGATGAAGCATATTATCTTAACCTTTCAAATGTGAACGATAAATCGCTAGTAAAACCATCTGCAAATAACTCAGCTCAATGTTTAAAAATAAGTTTTCATCAACATTACGCTCTTCATAGCTGTGCGAGCACAAGAAGACACAATAAAAAGGGTAAAAGTTGGTTTTGACCTGAGCCACCTGACTTTGTCAGCGGGACAGCTTTGTCCTTGACGTGAGGGAGGCAGACCGTGTTTCATCATTGGCTTCACGTCTGTCTCAAGGCCTCTGCGAGCACCAGTCTGGAACGACGGCATTTCAAGCCAATCGAACTCGTGAGACACACAGGACATGTGAAGAAAAAGGCCATATGTCACAGAGCTCCAAACCAAAGATGACTATGTTATAGGAGAGGAGGATCCTAAAGTGCAACCCGGGAGTTTGATCGGCTTATAGTCTGTAAGGGTGGCAGCATTTTAAAAAAGTGGTCACTGGGACCTGGAGAAAGCTATAAAACAAACACATCATAAACATCTAAGGTGTGACGACAAACCTTTTGTGAACCTCAAAAACTACAACAGTAAATAAAGCTGTGATATGAAAAAAAGACTACCTGGTGTGTTGAAAGGGTTTTCATTTACATCTCTTGGCCATAGCAAAGAACATTAATATGTGTTCATGTTTCTCCTTCCAGTGTCACCAAGAAATCTGTTTGGGATCGCTCCACATTGGGTTAGCAATTTTTGTGCTGCCATGTAGGCAGGTTTCAGACGCTGAATGCTGACTGACAAGAGTTATATCTGAGAAGACAGGCTCTTGTCAGTCAGCTTCCCTCTCTCTGAGGAATCATGTGTCTGTATGTCACATTACTGTCTCTGTATAATGTGGACTGTGCTCCTTGGTCCCTCCACAAGCTAGAATGACTCAACTGCCCTCAGGTTATCGCGCTGCGGTGGCTTTTAAAAAGAAAACTTATAAGATAAGATTGGCACGGGTTTCATCCAAACATTGAGTCTCGGCTTTCTTTCTTATTTGTGACTCCATAGCTGCAATTAATACATTCAAAGAAAGTCGTTGGTGAATGAAAGGTTTATTCAAAATTTGCCTCAAGCTGGGGTGCTGCGGTGGCACGGGGGTAAAGCGTAACCCATGTACGCTTTACCCCCATGACGCTTCGTTCTTGACTCGACCGTCACAGGTTTGAGTCCTTTCCGCGTGTCTTCCCCCGCTCTCATTTCCTGCTTTCCTACCTGACAACTCTCAAATAAAGGCCACTAGAGCCAATAAAACATTTAAAAAATTGCAACAAGCTACAGTATGTAAGGGATAGAAAGAAATACAAAAAAAACAAACAAAGAAATAGATCAGTTGAGACCAAAACTTAAATTCTTATCTATTGTTCAAATGTTGCGTTAGATGAAAAACCAACACTGCACATCACCGTAGACAGACTCTCTATGGTAAAAAAAAAAAAAACATGGTGATGGCAGTATAATCCTGTGGATACATTTTTCCTTAGAGAATCTGGTCAGAATTGATGGATTTATATCATTCTTTCATCAGGATAAACACCCAGAGCTACATTCAAACCAGCTTGGATCAAAGCACAGTTGTGTGTTAGAATTGTCCAGTCAAAGTACAAACCCAAATGTGATTGAGAATCTTTGGAGAAACTTGGAAAATGATGTTCACAGACAATATCCAATCTGACTGAGATATAGGCTCCCCAGAGACATCTGTGGCCTTTATGCCTGCAGTGCACAAAGTAAGAAAGATTATGGTGGACCATTCTAGGTAGCAACCACAGGACACAGATGGTGCCTGGGTGAAGCTGGCATGTGTGTGTGTGTGTGTGGGGGGGGGGGGGTTTGGGGGGGGGTGTGGGTGGGTGTGTGTGGGGGGGGGGGGGAGGGATGCAGAGAAATAGGAAAGCAAGAAAAGAGCAGTGAAAGGGAAGAAAATCCCCAAAGAACTCACAATAAAGGCTGATTGACATTATTAATCGCCTGCAGTAATTCTAAAAAATATATTTTAATAGCACAGTTAACATAAATATAAGGCAGTTCATGTTTCTAAGAAACACAGGCAGTATCTCAGAGTTCAGCTGGGAAATGCTTCACTGCAGAAAAAACTAATTGTGTAACACATCAGTGAACATGGATTGATTTCATCCTATGCAAGTAATTTTAATATTTCTTCAAAAAGTGCATCAAGACCGGTCCTATTTAAAACTGTTACCATATTCAAAGCTGTTTTTATTAAGATTGTATTTATTTTTTCTTCTGCTTGAGGCTGTGTCCAATAAACTGTAGAATGAGGGAGCTTGTGAACAAGTCAGCCATGTTTATAAAAGATTTTTTTTTAAAAACGCACAGTAAAAAAGAAACAACATAAATCAGACCAGAGAGTGAATTTTCTTGTTGCTTCATACAAAAAAATGTATAACAATATAATAAATACTCTTGCTGTATTAGTCCTCTGTTTAACTTCCATTCATATTTACAGAGAAAATGTGTTTTGTGTCTCTGTGAACTATTTAATTAGGAGTTTATCCAATTGGCCAGTGACAGGCATAGACTCAGGTCTGAAGTTTTGTTTCTCCAAACCTCATGGCTTCAATCTATCCATCATATGTTCCCACTGATAATAAACAGACTGCTGATCCCTCACACAAGTCTTGTAACTTCTGTTCCAAAAGTGAATTTTTACAAAACAAAGCCTCTGTGACAAATTGAGAAAAAATAAAAAGCTTTAGTTAAATTAGTTAATGTGGTTTTTCTTAATATATTCACAACTGTTTTTTTTTTAGTGATCTTATACAGTCGTCCTGTGTTAACCCACTACACCAGAAAATGGTTTAAAAGTTTCCACATATAAACAATAACTGCTGATTAAAACCAGAAAAATGCACAGGAATCGTTGCGTTATGTATAGAGCTGCCTGAGAAGAGGGTGGCGCCTATTTTTCGAGGGATGGGGGGGGGGGGGGGGGGCCTTGGGGGAGTCATTAACTTAACAGGCTTTTGGACCCAGCAGACTCCAAAGCGCACATGGCTCGGTGTTGCTGCTCCGGCGCGTCCTCTGCTCCTACATCCTCTCTGTCTCTCTGCCGGTCTTCGTTTTCTGCCTCTTTCTAACTCAATTCTTTAAAAGAGACACTTCCACGCAATTTTTTTTTTTTTTTAATTTATCTTGCAGGTTTATCTCTATGTTTCTCCCACCTCGTAGCTTGAAACATGTTACTTGCTTTAAGGAAAAGTTTCTGCATGACGTTAAAGTCTGTTTTAATATTCCTCCCTCTTAAACTCCTGTGAGCTCCTCCAACCCGTCTCTAAATCAATCAATTGCATGCAGAGAGCCTGGAGGCGCTGGACTGATAAAACTGTCGCTGTGTGATCGGAAGATTTTTTTTTTTTTTTTTCCATCCGAGCACCGGGCGTGATGAGACACTGGAGCCGCCGGAGGAACTTTGTCTTTCTGGGCTTTGCGCTGCACGTCTGGTCCCTGTCCACGGCCCTGGAAAATGTCAAAAGCGAGGTTTTCAGCATAAAGGAGGGTGAGTCTGAATGGGAATAACCTGTTTACATGGTTGGCTTGAATTGACTGTATATTTCAGTAAATAAATTCAATCAGTTTGTTTTGTAAACTGCCTTGGGGAAACATTTGTTGTGAATCAGGGGCTGCATAAATCATCTAAATTGACTGACTCAATTGAACTGAGTTTTCAAGAAATGACTTAACGTCCTTATCAAAACCTATCAAAACTACATCAAACAGAGTCCCAATTCTTTGGCATATGTGCATAATTTGTGCTCATTTAAGTTTTTTTTTTTTTTTTTTTTTTTATCAGAATACATCCAGACTCCCGCAGCTGTGCTGTGTACCTCACTGTTAGAGAAAGTGCAGAAAGGATGCAGAGTTTGTTTTTGTAGGTCCATCTTTGCGCAACAATAAAAGGAAGTCAGACTGCTGTCAGACGAACAGATGAGTTTAACATCCAGGAGGATGCAGCTTCATCTCTGGCTTTCAAAACATAAACCAAAACAGGATATATATATTTTTTCTTTCTCAGATGCTCTAAATTTAATCTGCTGAATTGATAGGACCGTGTAAACTGTGTGGGGGAGCTAGAGGAGAGCATTGTGGCACAGAGCAAATATTTCATGTGGCTGTGGTAAGCAGAGCAAATATCAAAGACGCAGACAGAAAATAAGAAAATGCTTGATTAATAGACTCGAATAAACAAGAATTTCAATTTCCTGAGGCGAAACGGGCGGCTTTGAATGTCAACAAATTCCTTGTGTGCTGTATGAGAGTATAAAACTATGCTGTATTTCATGCAAATCAAACAATTTTGCACAAGTAAACTACTATTTTTGAATCCAGTTTAACCTCTGTGTTACATTATCACCCATACTGGTCACTTTGGCACCAGACGCACATACCATGGAGCTCAGATCAGCTCAGCGCAGAGTCATTAAAGCTTTCATCCACAGGTTTAGCTCATATAAAAATGCAGGGAGCAAAAAACAGTTTGAAGGGGCAGCGTGAGTGTTGAAATAGTGCAGCCTCTTTGATGTCAGCAGGATGTTGACTTGTTTATTTCAGCACCACCCCACCTGTGTGGATATGGTGCCAGACTGCCAATGTTAATCTGCAATTTTAAGTGTCAGCAATCAGGCGCTTTAAATAAAAGTGTCAAGTAGGACCTGCTGGATGATTTTGGTTTGTTTATATGTAATACATTTTTTTTTCTTCTTCTCCTTCTTCTACATGTAGCTAATTTAGGGAAATTGCTCTCTTCAGAGTTCCCAGGTAGTTTGGAAAGTATGGAATTATTTTAGAGCTAAATAAGTAAAAAAAAAAAAAAAGAAGAAGAAATATATGGGAAATATTTGAATTTTTAGACTTGTTCCATTATATCCATCCATCCATCCATCCATCCATCCATCCATCCATCCATCCATCCATCCATCCATCCATCCAGGAAATTTGAGTGTGGGATAGTTGGGAGTTTTGAACTTAAACAACAATAAGCTGCTCATCCTAATGAAGTGCCACATTTTGCAGTCACACTGTTGATGGTTGGAAATAGTGTAAGACAGAAATCTAGGCCAAAATCACCACGACAACTCGATGTCCCTTCTCAAGACAGTATAACTGCTTTAGACAAGTGTCTCAAGTATCTATTTAAATCTGGTGACAAAGGAGGTCTGCATACTCAGTGCTGAGGTTTGGCATTTAATAAATGCCGTTTTACCAACACTCATGCTGCTTTCCTGAATTAATTTTGTTAGCCAACTACTTTTTTGTGTATTCTTTTCCAATTTGTTCGAAATCTCAGCCAATCTATTGAGAAAATTATCTCGCGTATATTGTTTTTAAAAGATTTTGTGTAGTAGAAGAGTTGCCACATCAGGGAAAAGTTGTTGTTGTGTTAACCTCTTTTCCCAAGGCTTGTGTACCTTAATAAGCATACTTATCTTTTTTTTTTTTTTTTTTTTAGCAAAGCCATATGACCTACTAACATTTAGCATTTTTAGCTTAGTGTGAACTTCTGCAGCTGCATTACCAGATTACAGTGCAAAGGTAAAGGTGGG